TTTCAAAATGAAATAGAAAGCATAAAAAGGACAGAGAAACCAAAAAACAGAGAACCAGCCAGAAATGAAGAATGCAAGGTGTAAATGAAGAACATACTAGATGGTATAAACAGTATGTTGGATGAAGCAGGGGATTGAATCAGTAATATGGATAATAAGCTAGCTGAAAATACACAATCAGAGGAGCAAAAAATAGAGGCTAAATAACATGACACTAAACAATGAATGGATTAATAATGATATCAAGGAAGATATCAAAAGATACCTTGAAACAAATGAGAATACAAGAATCCCAAAATCATTCTGACATAGCAAAAGCAGTCCTAAGAGGGAAATTCATAGCATTACAGGCCTACCTCAAGAAACAAGAAAAATATCATATTAACAATTTAACTTTAATTTAAAGGAACTAGAAAAATGAGCAATAAACAAAGCCCAAAGTGAGTAGAAAAAGGGAATAATAAAGATCAGAGCAGAAATAAATAAAGTAGAGAAAAAAAAAGAAAAAAGAAAAGAAAGAAACAAAAGATCAATGGAATCAGAGCTGGTTCTTTGAAAAGCTAAAAAAGATTGAACACTTCTAACATGACTCATCAAGAAAAAATGACAGAGGACTCAAATAAATAAAATAAGAAATGATAGAAAAGTAACAACTGACATCAAAGTAATACAAAGAATTCTAAGAAAATATTACAACTATCAATATATGTCAACAAATTTGACAATCTAGATGAAATGGTTAAATTCATCAAACACACACACACACACACAGACACACACACACACACACACACACACACACACACACACACAATCTTCTAAAGCGGAATCAGAAGGAATCTGAAAATCTGAATAGAAAGATTACAACTAATGAAATTGAAACAGTCATCAAAAATCTCCCAACACACATAAGTCCTGGACTGGATGGTTTCACAGATAAATTTTACCAAACATTCAAGGAACTAACACCTATATTTTTCAGACTATTCCAAACAATTCAAGAGAAAGGGAAACTCCCAAGCTTATGTAGAGGTCAGCAACCAGACAAGAAGAATAAAAGGTATCCAAATTGGAAAGATGACATGAAATTGTATATAGAGAACCCTTAAGATTCCATAAGGAAGGGAAAATACATTTACAGTATTCATCTAAAAACTCAGCATATAAACAGCATGTAAGTGAACCTGTGTAGTTTATACCCATATTGTTCCAGGATCAACTGAATATTTTAAAACACCATTTTGAAAATACTAGAATGTTATTTTCCACTTTATATATTACCTAGATCAGTTAAACTACAACTCTCTGAGAATCTTGCTTAGTTGAAAGTATCATGTCTGTAAAATTGAACTGAAAAGTTGCAGGAATTAATAGCTTTCAAATATTTTTTTTTGTAAATTAACTATATTTCAACAAGCTATGCTAAGATAATGGCCATTAATATAATGACAATGAGACCACTTTAATTCTAAGTACTCATTAATGATAGTGCCACAAAATTATTTAATTCCAGCTTATGTGTTTCCTAGTTTTTAAATTACAGATAATGATATCTCTTAGGGTAAATGAATGTGCTCAATTAACCATAAGTTTTCATTTATGTTTATTTTATACTTTCAAAATACAGCAGGTTCTACAATTTGAATAGCTTATTTTATGTGCTTCAATTCATTCAGCTTTTAATTTATATTTCCTTGAGACCCCTAGTTTTCAAGCCTTTTGAGAGCAAGGATCACATGTTACATTTCTTTATATATTGCTGTGAAAATAATAGGATCTCATTAAATAACCAGTAAGTGATGGTGATCTTGCTGTATCATTATCCACAGCTAAGCCTAACAGCCATCTCATTAAATCCTTATTCAAAATGTGTATCTCAACAGTAAGTTTAGCTTCATTTATTATTCATTCAACAAATACTCTCTAAGAGCATTAGAAAGTAAACATACAAAGAATCAGGACTGAAACCAAGATGGTAGCATAGGTGAACACCTAAACTGCTACCTTGCACAACAATTTCAAAACTACAACTAAAGGATAAAACAGACATCATCCAGAACCACAGGAAGGCTGGATGAGTGGAAATTCTACAACTAGAATGAAAGAGAAAAGCAGACTGAGACTCAGAGGAGCTGCAGGAGGCAGAGGTACTGAGGTGCACACACAGAGAGGACTGGCAACTGAGAGTGTGGCTGGCTTTCTCAAGGAGGAGGGAGGCAAAAGCTCCTGACTGTACTGAACTCCAGTTCTGGGCGAGACTCTGGGGATCCAGACTCATTTGGAGAGAAACTGGACTGTCTGGCAGTGGGTGGAACTCGAGGGCGGCTTTCTCTCAGAGGTACTTGCAGTGATTACCATGGAACACTGAGACACAAGGGCCTATTAGGGCAGGCCTGATGGGAAACCAATGCTGCTGTGTCCTTAGACTCAGCCCCATCCAAGCTGAACACAGAGGCTTTTGCAAGTCTTGTCTCATAAGGGTGTCTCCAGCACAGAAGTTTTCCCAGCATAGACACAGCTCATCCTCACAGCCAATTGACCTGGAGGTCAAGTCCTTCCAGTGATACCAACAACAATCAAGGCTTACCTACAACAAGACTGTGCATACAACCCACAAATGGGCACACCAAGAGTGTTCACCTCAGGTAACTGGGGAGACTGAGCCACTGGGCCCTATAGGACACCTAGCACACAAGTCACTCTATCAACTCAGGGAAGCAGACAAAATGCAGAGACAAAGAAACATATCACAAATTAAAGAAATAAAGAGAAGCAAACTACTGGATATAGAGTTCAAAAACACAGTTATAAGGTTTTTCAAGAATTTTCTAGAAAAGGCTGATAAATTTAGCGAGACCCTCGAGGATATGAAAAAGGACCAACTATGCCGGGACCGGTTTGGCTCAATGGATAGAGCGTCTGCTTGGGGACTGAAGGGTCCCGGGTTCGATTCCGATCAAGGGCATGTGCCTTGGTTGCGGGCATATCCCCAGTGGGGGGTGTGCAAGAGGCAGCTGATCGATGACTCTCTCTCATCGATGTTTCTGGCTTTCTATCTCTCTCCCTTCCTCTCTGTACAAAATCAATAAAATATTTTTTTTTTAAAAAAAAGGAAAAAAGAAAAAGAAGAAGGACCAACTATAAATTAAGCATACACTGACTGAAATAAAAAAATATGCAGAGATCTAACAGCAGACTAAAAGATTGAAAGAATCAAGTCAAAGATTTGAAATACAAAGAAGCAAAAACACTCAACCGGAAAAGCAAAAAGCAAAAAGAATCCAAAAATATGAAGATAGTGTAAGGAGCCTCTGGGACAACTTCAAGCATACCAACATCAGAATTATGGGGGTGCCAGAAGAAGAGAGAGAGAAAGATACTGAAGATATTTGAAGAAATAATGACTAAAAACTTCCCCCACCTGGTGAAAGAAAGAGACTTACAAGCACACAGAACCCAAACAAAAGGAATCCAAAGAGGACCATACCAAGACACATCATAATTAAAATGTCAAAAGCAAAAGAAAAGAGAATATTAAAAGCAGCAAGAGAAAAACAGTTAGTAACCTATAAAGGAACACCCATACAATTGTCAGCTGATTTCTCAACAGAAACTATGCAGGCCAGATGGGAGTGGCAAGAAATATTCAAAGTGATTAACAGCAAGAACCTACAACCAAGATTACTCTACCCCACCAAAGCTATCGTTCAGAATTGAAGGGCAGATAAAGAGCTTCGAAGATAAGAAAAAACTAAAGGAGTTTATCACCACCAAACCAGTATTATATGAAACGCTGAAAGGTATTCTTTAAGAAGAGGAAGAAGAAGAAAAAGGTAAAAATAAAAGTTATGAAAAACAAATACATATCTACTGGTATCAACAAGTGAATCTAAAAATCAAGTGAATAAAAAAATCTGATGAACAGAATAAACTGGTGAATTTAATAGAATCAGGGGCATAGAAACGGAGTGGACTGACAATTCTCAGGGGAAAGGGGTGTGGGAAGTTCGGGAAGAGACTGGACAAAAATTGTACACCTATGGATGAGGACAGTGGGGGATAAAGGCAGAAGGAGTGGGAACTGGATGGAGGGGAAAAAAGAGGAACAATTGTAATAATCAGAACAATAAAGATTTATTAAATTAAAAAAAAAGAATAAAAAAGTTCAAGCTGTCTCGATAGGAAAAATCCAACTTGTTTTTTTCTGTGGTTTTGTTTTGCTTGGCCTTTTCCTTTGTGTACTTAGAAGAAATCATTGGGCAGGTTCTGATGGGAAGAATCAATGCCAGCAAGCAATGCTAGCATCCCCCTCTTTTACAGGAAGTTCGGGTTAGGCATTTGTATTTCTGTTTACTGAGCCCTCCAGGAATTGTGTTTCTGTTACTAATTATTTGGATTCTGTTATAATGAACATTCAAATTTTTTCCTGATTTAACTTTGAGAGCTGATATAAGAAAAAAAGATGAGACTAGGATTCCTTTACAGAAAATTTTAAAAAGGAGGACTTGGTCGGGGAAACTGAGTAAGGCTGGAGAGAAACCTTAGATCAGTGTTTCCCAAAGTGTGGTACGCGTACCCCCAGGGGTACGGGAAGAGTTTGGTGGGGGTACGCGATGCACCGAAGTTTGGTGGGGATATGCACTGCACCGTGCTTAGCTGCGCCTAATTCTACATTCTCATGAGTATGAGGGAGTACTCAGCGTTACGAAAATTATAGAAGGGGTACACATATGTCAAAAGTTTGGGAAACACTGCCTGGCACCCACAGAGAGAAGGAGGGATTGAAAGGAGAGGAAGGGAAGAAAAACAATGCTACTGTACTCCATAGCATCCATTGTATATACTCCAGTAGTTTGCTTAATATGTTTTGTCTAGCTAAGAGTGTGACACTTTCCCAAGATGCATGTAGGAGATCTGTTTATTTTGTTAATTGTTTTACTTTGATTTCAGAAAAAAAGTCTTTATACCCTGTTCTAAACAAGTGATTTTTCCTCCTCCAGAAAACAAGATTTTGGTGAAGCAATCACCCATGCTTGTGGTGTACAACAATGCTGTCAACCTTAGCTGCAAGTATACCTACAACCTCTTTTCAAAGGAATTCCGAGCATCTCTTTATAAGGGAGCAGATAGTGCTGTGGAAGTCTGTGTTGTGAATGGCAACTACTCCCATCAGCTTAAGTTTCGCCCAAAACCAGGATTTCACTGTGATGGGAAACTGGGCAACGAAACAGTGACATTCCACCTCTGGAACTTGTTTGTTAACCAAACAGACATTTACTTCTGCAAAATAGAAGTCATGTATCCTCCTCCTTACATAGACAATGAGAAGAGCAATGGAACCATTATCCATGTGAAAGGTAACATACAACTCTACAAATGTACCACTTTGAAGAAATGGTTTTCAACTGTAGCCTTGAAGACTAGGTCCTGATGAGTAGTGGGATTGGATAAATCCCAAAGAGGATAGACCAAAGAGGAAGTCTACACATTCTAAGCTTGTGATATTTTGCATATTTTGGTCCCTCTTACATCCTATATAATAATCCTATTTAATAAAAGGGTAATATGAAAATTGACCATCTCTCCAACACACACAAGATGGCCACCCCCATGTGGTCAGGGATGGCTGCCCCCATGTGGACACAAGATGGTCAGCAGGAGAGGGCAGTTACAGGCAATCAGACTGGCAGGGAAGGGTAGTTACGGGCAACCAGGCCTAAAGGGGAAGACAATCAGGCTGGCAGGGGAGCAGTTAGGTGTTGATCAGGCTGGCAGGGGAGTAATTAGGGGGTGATCAGGCTGGCAGGAAAAAGAAGTAAGGGGTAATCAGGCAGGCAGGCAGGCAGGCAGGCAGGCGAGTGGTTGGGAGCCAGCAGTTCTGTATTGTGAGAGGGATGTCCTACTGCCTGTTTAGGCCCAATCCGAGTAAGTATGATTGAGAACCCATGGCTATGGCTGCCCAACCCCACTCAGCACCAAGATTGTATGTAGTAAGTAGGGGGCCTACTGGGATTGGGCCTAAATGGGTAGTCGAATATCCCTTGAGGGGTCCCAGATTGGAGAGGGTGCAAGCTGGGCTGAGGGAACACCCCCCCATCCCCACCCCGGTGCATGAATTTCGTGCACTGGGCCTCTAGTTCTTCCATAATGTTCAGAAGGAAGAAAATGTATTGAAGCGTTGCTCCCATGTCATTTAATGCACCCTATTCTATTTTTCAGAGAATCATCATTGTCCAGCTCACCCAACTCCTGAGACTTCTAAGCCATTTTGGGCACTGGTGGTTGCTGTTGGAGTCTTGGCTTTGTATAGCTTGCTAGTAACAGTGGCTCTTTTTACTTACTGGGTAAGAAAAGCAGCACTGCTTTCATGCAAACTTTTCTGCCACATGTGATCTGATCAGATTTAAGAATTTTGCCTATGTAGTGTATTTTCTGTTTAACATGTGATATTTATTAGTTCCTTTTCCCTTGCTGGATTGAAGTAGGTTCTCTTTTAGCCTGTCCAACTTATTCTGAGATAAAAATCTGACAGGCATTCTATTTTCCAGAAGGCACTGGTTAGGTGGCCAAACAGAATAAAAAGCTAAATGGTTAAATAAGGGTGGGGTACTAAGGGCCATTACTTTTTTTTTTCCTCCCAATTTGCAGTATCATTATGACATATAAAATAGTTTTAATGTACATATGTATAAAAATCTAAGCAACTTGGGAATCTATACAACTGAAGTCAATGAAGAACTTTGGCTCAGGGTGAAAAATCATGAGAAATTTGGCTATTGAAATTATGCATTCAAACCTAGCAAAGAAACTAGGTCTGTTTTTCTGACTCATATTTTTATCTCCTCAGAGGCAGTTGAATTTTGTGAGACCAACTATGGTACTGTCATTATGAAACTATAATGAGAATTAGACTTTTCTGAGCTCTCATCACTGAATTGGAGTTTAACAAATTTGCAAACTTCATGCCTAAATTTGGTGCATTTTTTTAACCTACTTCAGCATTGAATTTTTTGCTGAGGTTTGAGGATATCATGATATCAAGCATCCACTAAGTATCATGATGATCATATCTACTATTAAGAAGGGAACCTCCTTATCAAGGATCTTTTCCCACTTGGGGACTTCCTGTTCTTATATACACATTATTTTTATATAGAATAACCATGTATTGATTTCATTTTGTCTTTGAAATGTTTTCTGAAAGTTATATGCATGTATGAGTTGTTTACTCTTTCAACAAGAAAAGTATACACCTTTTGAATAAAGGACTATTTCTCTTTATATTTACCATCTATCTAGGATTAAGTACATTTAATATTTAGTGATGCTTAACCTCATAACCTCCTTTGAAGCCAAACTAAAGACTCAAATAAACAGGTCTGAAGTATAACACCCATCTTCAAGGCATACTCTATACAGCTAAACCAGACATAGGGAAGAGATTTTGGGTAGCCATGCCATGTGTAGCCATCATACTTACTATTATACATATAGTCTTGGTGCTGGGTAAGGTTGGGCAGCCATGGTTCACAATCACACCAATGATAGACACAACTTTGGGTGCTGTCACTCTCTTGTTGGCCTGTTCCCAAAGTTTCCCTCCCGATTGTTCCCCACATACTTCTCCCATTTTAGAAGATCCTTGGGGTAATCTGAACATTGGTCATGCTGCCTATTGCCCAATTTCTACCTTCTTCAGGGGAGGGAATAAAGTGGCTGCTTGTTCCTGGAAATCCTTTATACTAGATATCATCTTGAGAATTTGTCTGCCAGTCTTGCCTTCTTCAAGTTGCCTGAGCCTGATGGAGGCTTTTTATGCAGTGAAATATCGCCTACATTCTTCCTTTGATCTTAGCTCAGTCCCTTATCTTTCTGGATCCTTGTGTCTTCATTTAAGGTCCCTTCCAGCTTTGAACCACTGTGGTGTTTGCTAATGATTTTAGAATTTAGACTCTTAATTCTTGGTGTGTGTTTTTTTCCTGATCCCATAGGGAATTTCAATATCTTAATTTAAAAGTCAGGTGTAGTGGCTTTTTGGGTACCTTTCCAGGGCAAATGCTCCCCTTTAATATGCTGACCTTGGACAATGTAATTCACTGACTTGGCAGGAAGTAGTTTTAGGAACTGCTTTAACTTTATGTGGCCAGAAGGGTATTGATGAGCATTTAAAATTTATTGTTAACATGCATTAGAATATCAGTTTCTATAATCAGGCACTAACTTGCTAAGTGACTCAAAACAACCAAAGGGACAAATTAGCTTCTCATTTTCAAGGAGTTTTAACAGTTTACTTTCAGTTTGGAAACAACATAGGCACTATGGTTTTTCTTTGGCAGTACAACTAATTCCCAGCGTGATTCATCTTGCTTTGTCTTAAAAATTTTATTTTTTACTTATTCTGTCTCACAGGATCCCTATGAACTGGGAAATTAAAGTGCTTTGTATATCTAATCATCTGTGGCCTCTTACAATCAATTTGGTTACCCAATAACATATATCTGTATTTCATAGAATAATACAGCATTTTCACCCTGGGCTCATCTTTTCTTGCAGCTGTTACTGTTTAAGCAACTAGCACCTTGCTGAGCTAGGCAGCCAGGCCATTAGGGATCCTTAGAGGTTAGTCATTTTCTGGGTCCTTTTTTGGGATCCCATTTCTGGCTGGTCTGCACTGTACCTTGGTATATAAATTGCTGTTTTCCGGAACTTCCTGAGGGCTTGTGACGTGCTATTGTAGGCAGTTTTAGGATGAGTGGGTTTTGGGGAGCAGCTGCAGATTCTATCTCAGTTCTTGACCTATTGCTGACATTTGAATAAATAAAGAGTTCCCCTTGGCCAGGCTGCCACAGATCAGCACCTGTTACTCTCACTCAGTCCTATTTACTGAATTACCTTGTGTCATGCGACTGCTCCTAAAAAACAAATGGGTTAGGGCTGCAGGGAAGGGAAGGGCAAGGGAGGTGGGTTCCAAAATCATATATGGTATCTTTAGCAGACATTTAATGAAGGATCAGAGAGGTGACCTAGTCACACAGATACATCAGGTGAGTACTCTGCAAACATCTATGCACATGCTAGATGCACATGGACACTGTGGGTTCTGGATAGTGTTTCCAGTCATGCATGTGTCATTTCCATCCTACTGTTGTTTAAAATTAGGGTGATAATGACTAAACCCACCATCTGATAAGTGTGAGAGGAGGCATGGGAGTTATTGCAGCAGATCTTTCATAGACTTTGTGTGCAACCTGGAGAACCCAGAACCAAGACATCTTCTTTGTTGGGCCTTCTTTACCAGTTGTAGTTTTTTTGAGGGGTATCTGGGGACAAAGACTGTCATTTGGGAATTGGGCAAGGGAAGTCTTCAAGGTTGGAATAAGCACTAAAATGCTTCCCAGGGTATAATCAGCAGCCTTCCACATCGATTTGGGAGCAGACATTTTCAGGTCCTGATTCCTGTCCTGCTGTAACCCTGTGCTCAAGAAAACTCCTGCCTTTCTTTTATAGAAAGGATATAGAATCAAGATGTTTGAAGTGCAGCTTCCCTGATGCACTTGGTTTCCATGACTACCTCTCTGAACTAATCCTCCAATTATGTGTGTTTAACACTATCCTCTTCGAGGTTCCAGCTAAATAACCCATCCATCATCTCAAGTCCCAAATGACTAAAGCAGAATGTATAACTTCTTTCAAATATGCTTTTCCTACTGCCTTGCCTAATGCCTATGGATGGAACACCATCCTTCTAGTCACCCAGGATCAAGTCATCTGTCATCTTGGGTATGAACAAGAGGGAGTCAAGCAGTCTCACGATACTCATGCTAATTTGATGATATGTGTTGTATCTATTGCTTCCTTTCATTCCATTTTCATTTAATGACCAGATTCTAGATTAGAATGTCTCAGTCTTGGCTCTATTGACATTTTGGGCTGAGTGATTCTTTGTTATTGGGGGGCTGCCCTGTGCAATGTAGATTATTTAGCAGCATCTTTGGCCTTTACCCACTCTAGATGCCATTAGCATTCTTCCCAGGGGTGACAACCAAAAATGTCTTCAGACATTGTCAAATGTCCTCTAGGACAGAGGATAAGGAGCTGGAGTTGACAAGGCAAGAAGGTTTGGCTTGGGCAACTCTGTATATGTAGTGTCACTCACTAAGATGAGAAATCCTGGGAGAGGACCTGACTTTAGGGGAAGATTTTGAGGGTTTTTTTTTTTTTAATTGTTGTTGTTGTTTGTTTAAACTTCTGCTGAGGATATTTTCCACTGACTTTTAGAGAGAGTGTAAGGGAGACAGAGAGATAGAGAGAACAATGACATGAGAGAAACACATTGATTGGTTGCCTCCTGCAAGCACCCTGACTGGGGCTGGGGCATCTGCAACTGAAGTACATGCCCTTGACTGGAATCAAACCTGGGACCCTTCCGTCTGCAGGCCAATGCTTTATCCACTGAGCCAAACTGGCTAGGGCTCTTTAGTTTTGTTTTAGATGTGTTGAGTTTAAAATGATTTTGAAGTCTAGTCTAGAGATATAAATTTGGGTGAGTAGATGATAATTGAAGTTGTGAATGTTGATGAGATTGCCTAGGGTGAGGATGGAGTTAAGACGAGAAGGCCTAGGCCCTAGAACAAAGCTGTGTGAAACTCTAATACTGAATGGCTAGATACAAAAGGATGAGTCGGCAGAGGCCAGAAAGCACGGTCAGGGAGGCAGGATGAAAACCTGGGTGGTACCATCTCATAGACGATAAAGTGGAAGAGTGATTCAAACAGGAGAGAATAATCAATATTAAAGAATGCTGCTGAGAGTTCAAGAAAATGAGGTCTGAAAATATGTTATTCATATTTAGTAATGTGAAGATCAGTGTTTTTCCAGCCTTTCATTAACACTTATTCATTTGACAAGGAAGCTGTGAAACACTCAGGTAGAAGTGCAAGGAAATAAGGCCAGAGCTGAAGTCATTTGCTTACTTATTTAAGCAGGAGTTCATATCATTCATGTCCAACATTTCGACTTATGCATTAGGCCTATGTGCCAGGAAATAGGCATTTTTTTCCATAATAGATAATTCTAAATCCAGAAATCTAGATGACTTTCTAATTTTAGAATTTTAAGGGTCATTCCCCCCTCCCCCAAATATATAAATTTTACCATTCTATTGATCCAGAGATGCTCCTTAATCCAAACTTTGCTAAAATTCATGGAAGAATATCTCTTGCTCCAGGTTAATGAAGTATTATCTTACTTTTCTCACCGCTCGTAGAAATTCTTCTAGAGGGAGCTGAGCCAGAGGGCCAGGAAATGTAAATACATGTAATGAAATAGGAATATAACTAGTTGCCTAGATCTATCTTCCCATTTGGAATCCACTGCTATGAATTTATGATTCTACGAATTTTATGATTACGCCAATCTCTGAAATGCTAAAGGTCTTCTCTGGTTAATTATGAAAAAACAAAACAGATTGTTAAGCAAATGACTAATATAAGAAGATTGCAGAAGGGATGCTTGACCTTTGCAAAAGAGGAAGGACCTTCAAGAATATTTATATATCAATAGCAGATATGTAAATGAGATATGCTTTTGAAATTCAGGTTAAATGACTTCTTTGAGAGTAACATTTCTCTAAAATACCTTCTCTGATTCAGGTTTTTCAAGTTAATTTAGAAGAGTCCAAAGTGGTTAGGTTTGATTAGTCAAGATTCAAGTTCAAAGTGCTTAATGAATTCTGGTGTTCAGCTTCATGTGACAGTTCATGGTCTGAGTAGTTGTCTGCAAAGTCTTAGAAATGACATCTCTCTCCATGTCTCTGGCCCTTCACAATGACACCTCTCTTTTCTGCAGATGAAGAGTAAGAGGAACAGGATCCTTCAGAGTGACTACTTGAACATGACCCCTCGGAGGCTGGGGCCTACCCGCAGGCACTACCATCCCTATGCTCCATCGAGAGACTTTGCAGCCTACCGCTCCTGACATGGACCCCTATCCAGAAGCCAGCCGGCTGACACCTCTTCACCTGCTCCACACCACTGCTCTGGATAGGAAAGGACCGCCTCGTCTTCAGCCGGACACCTCAGGCCCCTGTTGGGCCACAAAGTGACAAATTTTCTTGACTGACTTGACCAAATAACATCATTTTTGAGAAGCCGAAATGAAGCTAAAGAATATTACTATGGCAGACTAAGTCTTGTAGTGCCACGACCAAATTGCAAACTTGCTATATATTTATTGACTTGATTGAGAGGCTAAGGTAGAAAATAAAAAGTGAGTGAATTCTGTTAGCCTTAAGATCTGCTTACAGTTTTACTCCTTTCTTACCCCTCTGCACCGTGGTGGTCAAGTAAAGTGTGATATCGAAGGACTTTTTACTTTATTTTTCAATATGTTTTTATTGATTTTAGAGAGAGGAAGGGAGAAGGAGAGAGAGATAGAAATATCAATGATGAGAGAGAATCATTGATTGGCTGCCTCCTGCATGCCCCCTACTGGGGATCAAGCCTGCAACCTGAGCATGTGGCCTGACTGGGAATTGAATGGTGACCTCTGGTTCATAGGTCGAGGGTCAATCACTGAGCCACACTGGTGGGCTTAAAACTTTTTAGATGGAGAAGAAAGGTTAAAAAATCATTTCTTTTTTGTTAAATGGGGGTTTAGGGTGGGGTTAGGTTAGAGTAGGAGGGGAGGGGAGAGAGACTTAAACCTTTTTAAAATGTGAAAACACTGTCTTTCACTCATGAAATGAACCACTGAGCTCTTATTTAATGTTGTTTTCCTTTTAGTTTAGAAATACGTAGTCATTATGTTTGATGATTTCTGGTCATATTTAGTCATTTTGACCAATGGAATACCTTCAAAGCAATGCAAGTTAAACTGACTTGCTTTCCCTATTCCCTCTGATGGAAATTCAATGTAATTTTCACAGTATGATTAAAAAAATAAGTAGTCTTCCCACACCAAGGAAGAATATGTTTGGAAATAAGGCCACTTGATGCTAAAATTATTTAAATATTATGAACATTCCAGTCAACTTCTATAGGGTCTTTTCTGTTCCATATATTCCAGGTTTGTCTAGCTGGTCTCTTTATTGTCTGCATGGAGATCTGAAGTGGAGTGTTGAATGCACATCCATAGGGAAGTGATGATACTGTGAAAAAGGAATGTTAGCCTTCATTGGGGTGCAGGGAAGGAGAATAGAAAGGAATGACTTGATTCTTGTCATGTGCTGAGGAATATACTGGTGACAATTTTCCAGAAGATGGCAGGCGGCAGGAGCCCTCATGAAAGCTTCTTTTCAGGATCTTCAGTGCTTTAGGACTCACAGCTTCATAGGGTTCAGGTGCCTGGAGGTCCATCGACATGGGAAAAGTATCCTGGAATATGTCTGTTGAAACAGCATTGAAGTTCTCAAGATACCTGTAAGGTCTGGCCCTGGAAAGACTATGGACATTTTTCTACCTCCAGTTTGGGTCAATTGGGGTGTGCCTAGGGACATTAGAGAATAGCTCTACTGCTGCCTTTATGGTTGTTCAGTGCTTCAATGTTAGAGGAGTCTAGGTTTTTAGAGGCAGAGAGACCTGGTTCAGGTCCCATTGCTAGTTGGCCTCAGGCACATTGCTGTCTTTCTAAGACTCTGGTTCTTCAACTAGAAAATGGAAATAATGATCACAAATATCTGTCCCTATATTGTAATTTCCTTGAGGACATGGCCCTAGTTTGTCTTTTTCTCTACTTGTTCCTGGCACTTAGTACCATGCCTGGCATGTAATTTTAGCCATTATTATTATTATTATTATTATTGCCATAGATATAAGTTCTGTGTAACAATTACACTGGACAATGATCTAAGAAGGGAGAGAATATTATAACACAAATTTAAAGCCATTATCCAGGAATGAGGTACTTATAAAATTTGAGAGCCTCTTAACTCCCACCATTATCCTGTTTCAGATTATTTTGGTTTGTTATGAAAAATGTACAGACTTCCACCTCACATTTTTATGTATATAAATAAATTTCTTTAAATTTTTTTTTGTGTGTTGTGGGGAGAGATAAGAATATTAGATTCCAGACAGAAAATATTGTACTTTGGTTGATTTTTAAGTGGGCTCCTCTTCCATTAATTTAATTGATCTAAAGAAGGCCAAGCCCAGCAGTATTTGAGTGACAAAGAACAGTTGAATTTAAATTGGCAACTGTACCCCTTTGCCAGTCTCTTGGCAAACAGAGATCTGTAATCTAAGTTATCAGATTGGATTTGAAAATGATAGAGCTGTAGAATTTGTAGAAAGGGCAATGGCAAAACATAAATAAATAAAAAATAAAAATGGAAAGATTTGATCTTTGGCAATACCCAGTTTTATTTTCTGATGGGAAAAACAGGTTCACTAACGATGAATCACACTTCAGATTCTTCTTACTCACTTTGAACAGAACCAAAGTAGAAGTGTTAACAGGGAAGTCCTTTTTCACTATTAGTGTGAACCAAGAAATGGTTTAAAAACAGTGGTTGGAGCCATGCATTTACAGTTTCAGATATAGTACTTACGAAGAAAACAATGTCCTTTGCTGCTTTTATTCTAAGTTTTATCCTTGGTATTTCTGTAAGTTTTTTATTGTGAGCTTCCTTATTTTGGGCTGAGCATGCCAATTTAAAGAGGCCAAGTGTACATCATGTTCTATGTATTCAGTAATAAAATTACTGAACTCTCACGTACCTGCTTTTTAATTTGTGCTTTAATGCTGATGTTCAGAGCAGATATGCTTCACCTTTGGCAACACAACTAGAGGAAACTTTCTATGTGTTTTTAAAATGTTTTTAAAAGGATTTAAATAAATCCTTTTCACAAATCTTTAGTTTTAGCCATTTCAAAAAACCCATACTTTCAAATATTCTCACTTCAAGCAAGGTATATTTCTACCTTGGCTTCTGTTATAATTTCTCATCATAACATTAGTTTATATCTCTGCAATGTCAGGCCGGGCTTACCTGCGCATTCTGTGTGATGTGAATCTCTTTCCTACAGGTCAATGAATACTTTCTGACAGATTGCTCCTCAACAGCAGACATGTTCCCTCTTCAGAACCTTTACCCATATATATTTTTTCCTTCTATAATGCCCTTCTCTAGTGATCTACCTGGCTTGTTCCCCCATTTCCTTCAGGTCCCTCCTAGTTAATTTCCCCCAAACTCTATCTCCTTTCCTTGCTTGTTTTTTTTTTCACCCCCACCATCTCTTAGATTTTTCACTTATTTATTTATTGTTTGTGTCTCCAAACTAGAATGCAAGTTCCATGAGGGATAGATCTTTGCTTTGTTTGTTACCATGTCCCCAGTGCCTAGAACAGTGCCTGGTATGCAATAAGCATGTATTGGCTGACTGAATGACTCTCATATACCCTAATGAATCAGTGGTTAATCTAAATGTACCTATCACACTCTGAGATGGAGAGAAGCCCTTCTGTTTTCCACTTTCCTATTAATAGTTCAAAAAATGCATTTGTTCTAATGGAACAGGAGGTAAAATATATACAATGAAACCTGGAAAAAGAAAACTTCTTGGATATGAGGTTAATTTATATTTTTGTGCAGTGAGTAAAAACAAGATTTAGAATAATCTTAAAAAGCCATGCTAAATAAGCCACAGTCAAGAGTTAAATTGATTTCCCATTGAAGTCTCCAAATTTCCTCTTGACAGCTTTTTGAATATGCCTTTAGCCTAGCACTTCTAAAAATGTTGCATTTGTAGTTAAAATCCTGTATGACTACTGAACTGCTGCACTTTTCTAGAGAATGTTTTTTGTCTCAACAAATTCTATAAATGCATTGACTGGCTGCAATTCAAAAAGAGCTCAAATATGGGAAAGCTGGGGACAGACAATTTCAACTGCTTCATCTGTCATGCTCATGTCATAACAGAACACTCTAATGGTTTGCAATAGTTTAAAAATAAAACAACAAACAAAATTGTGGCACTTGGAACAAGTTGAACATTCAAATCAGCCATGATAATCATCATCATCACCACACACACACACACACATACACACACACACACACAGAGTTATAATCTTATGGGTAGGGGAAGGCCCTCAAGAGACACAAGGGTTGGTCTGATAATTCATGTGGCAGCTCCTATTTATTTCATACAAATTGTGTTTTGAGGATGGCCTGAAGTCAAATACATGTATGAAGAACTCATCTCCATACTTGCTCTTTTATTTGTTGAAATGGACCTCATTAAACTTAAAGATAAATAAAACTTGAAAAAAAGGTAAGCCTATATGTGTCCTAATCCGAGAAAGACTGAACTCCGCTACTCACTCATGAGGTCAATATGGCAGATCTAATCAATTGAAAAGGGACAAACAACCTTGGTAAAAATCAGCTATTAAACAAATCTATTCAATAAGCACTCCTTTATTAGAATAATAAAAACAATACAAATTGCTTCAGTAAAAAAGTTTCCAGTACTTTGAAACTCAAGTTCAAAATGAAATAAAATGCAAACTTTATAAGTTTACTTAACAGACCTCCTACTATGTTGTAGCTACATGACTAAATAAGTAATTGCCTGCAGCCCTGAATCCACTCGTTTCCCCCTTCAGTCTGAGAAAACAGACTGGTTGCTTTTAAAGCAGTACCTTCTTTCCTCTCTCATCCAGTGTGGAACACAGGTAATGGATGAGTGAGAAAGATCAAAGAATTTCTAGATCCATCATAATGGTGGCCTGACCACCACATTAAGCAACTGCAAATGAGATGATCTTAGAGCCACACCAAACCTTATTTGGTAACTTATTCTTGTCTCCTAAATGGACAGGCACTGTAGTAACTCCTGACTTTTCAACAGTGGCGCTCAGAGGAAGCTTGATTCCTCAGGAGTGAATCTGTGGGGGTGGACCTCTTAACTTTCTCTGATTCGGTAACCCCCAAGGAATTGGTTGTGTTTTCCCTTCAAACATTCATGGGCTCT